AGAATGAATAAAATTAAGAGGTCCTACCAGAGAAGTGATAAATGGAAGACAAAAGAAGTGTAATAAAAATAGGTTGCAACTTTATGTCTGAATTTTGAATATGCACCCTGGATGTCCATTTTGCCATAATTTACTACCACTAATTTTGTTTTAGATGGTTTAGTAGATATTAGCAACTTATTATTGAAATAGAAAAGAGCTTGAAGATCATGTGTCATAAGTAAATGGAACAAAAAGTAAAAACAAATGATTGTTTTGCTTTATCTTATTTAAAGAAATAAGCCCTTCAAATCTAGTTAGACATGAATTTAACCTTTCAAAGAGAAGTAACCTATTAGAACTATATTAAATAAACAGCGGAGGATCTTTGACTAAGAGCGCCCGGATAGCTCAGTCGGTAGAGCATCAGACTTTTAATCTGAGGGTCCAGGGTTCAAGTCCCTGTTCGGGCGTTTGCCGCGTTTTGCCTCTTAGGCTGCCAAATACTATATCACACGGAGATCTAAACGCTGAGGAATAAAAACTTGCATTTTAAATTGAATTCAATTAATTTTTCATTGATTTCAGAATACGCTAGGTAAGGATGTTCTCAGGGAGAGAATAAGGAAGTGACTATGTAAAATCATCGCGGTTTTGCACGGTTTCCCAGCGAAAAGGAATTCGTTCTTCAGAATGCTAATAATAAAGGGGAAAAAGAAAGTAAAAATGAAGCACATCGTGTTCTCATTGCGAAAAAATGAGCCATGCATTCACTAATTAGCCTGATTTCGCCCTTTCTCACCGTATATCTATTTTAGAACATCGCATCACACAACATAAATAACATAACAATTTTTAGTTAAAAGAGAAGCTGGAAACGCCCGAACAGGGACTTGAACCCTGGACCCTCAGATTAAAAGTCTGATGCTCTACCGACTGAGCTATCCGGGCTCCCGAAGGAAGCAGGCTGTGCTGTAATACCTCACATAAGAATGAGAACGTCTATATACTCGGCATCTTGAGCCGTATTTTGCGAAACGGCTGTAAATGCAAGGAACTTCCTGATTCGTGCAAAAAAGAAAACCAGAAAGCCCCAATTCTGCAATTTTCACCAGTAATACCAGCTAATGCAGAATTGCGAGATATTTACGTGCCTGGTAACCATCATTAGGTAGGATTTTTCTGGTTGGTAACCTAATAGATTCAGGATCGAGGAACTAATGAGGTACACTTTAGAAGCGCTGTAGCGATATTAGGTCAATTTTACCGTCGACAACAGAGTATCAGTTTTGAAACCTACCTGACAACAGAAAAAAATGAGTCTGTCTAAGACAGAATATAAAATATGCTCTTCTGAGGCTATTGGGTTGAGTTTGTGTAGTATAACGTGAGAAAAAGGAATGAAAGTGTGATTGCCCGGTAGGTCCCCTGAAGGGCTACTAAGTAAATTTTTAAGTGGCTGGAGAAGATGACCAGCAGGAACCTTGAGGGCAGAACCTTCTAAGCCGAGACACAGGAAAGCCGATCCTGGTAGTCCGGAGAGTGTGATCTTGGCATTGGAGGCTCTTCTCTCCTGCAGCCATCCATAATTTAAGCACTATCCTCTGCGATGGAGTAAGCCTTGAAAATTGCCCAGAGTAGAGCTTTGCGAATGAGACCCCAAAGAGTCTCTGTTAGCTGCTGTTGCTTTCCTCTCATTCTATCCTCAACTACTTTCAGAGTTATTACTGAAAGTAGTTCTACTTTCATGAATCGGTAAAGAAATAATCAGAAATGTACCAGAAGATCTGACTACAGGAGAGGTCTTCATGGCATTTTAATTGTAAACAATATAAATGGCTATATAAATTATGATAAAGCCTTAATATGGAAAGTTATTCGGCCATTAGTAATCATTTGATGACCAGTAAGACTTGAGAAAAATTGCAAAATATTGTCAAGTTAGAATATATTTCAAATCAATGGTTTTGTTTGTTTTTCGAGAAAAGGGTACATACAATGTATATTGGAAAAGGGAAAGGATAAATGCTTCTACAAAGCCTGGGTTCTGAAGTTAGGAGTGCTGTTTGAATACTTCCAGGGTTCAAGGAGGGAGATGCCATAGAAAAAGTGACAACAGAAAACTGCTTTGGTACATGTAAAGTGTTGTTCCTTAGAAACAGTTGTGGGGAAAAGGAGACTATATTCCTCTTTATACCTTTTTGTGTGTATAATGTAGTTTATTGTATTTCTTTTTTGGAAAGACTGTAAACCATTAATACTGACTTTTAATTTTTTTTAAAGCTCTAAGGGGCCATAACAAATCACCTAATTCAGCCATTTTATTTTACATATTAGGAAAGTGAAGACCTGCAGAACTATGTAACTCTGTTTATAGAAATAGCTAGACAAGAAGCAGCTACTAAGTGACAGCTAGCTAGCTTATTAAATCAGCTTATTTAATCAATGGTTTTTGAACATAAGTTGTTTGCTTTTTTTTTTTTTTTTTGCTCCAGTAAGTTTTGGAAACCTAATGAACATACGTCTTAAAGAAGGAAGAGGTGATCACTAAGAGTCAGTTATGAGTTTTTAAGCTCATTTAATTTTCTTTCTTTGGTAAGGTTACTTGACTGATAGAAAAGGGAAATACTATAGTTTTTTTTTTATTATAGCAAGTCATTTGATATGTCTTATAAAATCATTAAGAAAAGATGGGGAAATGTTGCCAGATGTTAACATTATTAGGGGAGATAAATGGTGGTTTTTAAAGCAACCTTAGAAGATGAGCAATTAATCACAAATCAGTGTGAATCATGATGGGAAAAGCTCTGTTCTTTACTATCACCTAATCAACAGATTTATCAAGGTTTTAAGTGAAGACAAATTAAATATGATGATCAATAGTTTACAAAATTGAAACAGCTAATTTCTGTTGACCCTCCAGGGGTGGCTTACTGAAGCTCATCTATCATTGTGCTCACCACATTCTCTTCATCTGGACAGTCTGACTCCCTCCCTAGACAGATTCCAGACCATACTTGTGTTGGAACCCTCTAGGCTGATGCTTGTTACACAGTAGGTGTTCAACAAATATTTGTTACTCTTAAAACTGAATTGCATGTGCGTATCATAATTCCAACACTCCAGCAGATAGCAGAAGGGGATCTAAACTAACCAGATACTTCTTAAAAGATACAAAACAAATTCCTGTTTAGAAAATTTTAAAATTAAAATATCAAATCCCCAAAGGTAAAGGGGAAATAGTTGACAGTAATTCACCTTAAAAGTTCTCCCACCCCCTCTTCAGGCCAACAGCAGTGCCATATGCCAAATGCCTGTAACCCCAGCACTTTAGAAGGCCAAGGTGGGAGGATCACTTGAAACCAGCTCTGGGCAGCACAGCAGGACATCCTTTTCTCTTCAAGAAAATAGAAAAAATTAGCCTGAAGAGAAGGATCTCTTGAGCCCTGGAGTTCAAGGCTGCAGTGAGCTATGATCATGTCACTGAACTGCAGACTGGGAATTAGAGGGAGACCTCATCTCCAAACAAAAACAAAAACAAAAAACAAACACTCAAAAAGCCCCAAACACTTTGGGCATTAGAGTGAGACTTTGTTTAAAAAAAAAAAAAAAAAGTCCTCCCTTAAACTATTTTTGTTGTTGTTGCAGTTTGGCGTGGGCCAAGTTTAAACCCGCCACCCTCAGTATATGGGGCCAGTGCCCTACTCCTTGAGCCATAGGCACCGCCCCCTTCAACTATTTTTTTGAGAGGGTTTGTTGCTGAATTCAAGCTCTCTGTGAACAACAATGAAAAGGAAATCAATTATTCAGTTTCTGTATAAAACTCTGCATCTCCTAACTATGCAAGAGGTTATTCTAGAAGTAGAGCAAGGGGTAATGTGCAAACTAAGAAAGGTCATTCATTCACTGCTCTATTTTCTTTTGCATGGATTTGTATCCAGAACTGGATGGATGCTTGTTCAGAAGATGGTGACTAGAATTGCAAGGGGGCTTGTAGCTGTGTGAAATAAATAGTTGAAGGTTCGAGGGAATATCTATCCTGCAGAAAAATGAGGGAGAGGTATAAGATTGGACTGTCTTCAAATAAATAAAAAGCTTCATAATAGAAATGCCAAAGCCTTATTCTGTCCTCCAAAGTGCTAAACTAATACCAACAGAAATTGCAAGGTGATTATATTTCAGCCCAGAAAATCCTCTAAAAGTTAGAATCATCCTGAAATAAATGAAACGAGGTATTTGGGGGAGGTAAAGCATTTGGCATCAGCAGAGGTTAAAGATAGCCAGCTTGAGATGTTTATTGAAGCCCTTCTATATTGGGAGAGAATAGATCAGATGACCTAGTTCTGAGATTCAGGTAAGCTCTATGGCACTGTTCTTCACACCTCTCTTTTAGCATTCATTGAATTTCTTGAATTATTCTTGTATATACCAGTCTCAGCTCTTCAAATTAGCAACAACACTGGGATGCTCGTTTCCCCTCTGGGCCACCCCTAGGGAGGACACATACTGGCGAGTGGCTGAGGAAGTGTAGTCCCTTCTGCCCCCCTTAGAAGTGAAGGCCACTTCTGATCATAATCTGTTTTCTCCCTTCTGTTTTCTGATCTCTTATCACCTTAATCTTGGACTTCTAGCCTTCAGAATTATGAGAACATAAATTTCTTCAGTTTAAGCCACTCAGTGATATTTTTTTTGGCAACCTTAGAAAACTAATGTAAGTTCTACACAGTTCATTATATTACGTATACAATTCAACAAATTGCCATACATTACAGCAGATAAAATGAATTAACTATAACTACACGATTTAAACCTGTTTAATGTCTGTCAATCCTGTCTGTAAATATCAGAACCTTGCTAGTTCCCCAAATAGTCTCTTTCGGGCGTCCAGGCCCCGCGACTCTCTAGTCGGACTAGGCCCTACTCTATGGTAGAGAAAGCGCTGCCTTTCTAACTCTCTAGCTCGCTGATCACTGCATCTATGGTTCCGGAAGCCTCATCGGAAGCTCCCGTGTGCCAGGTCTTGGGGGAGGCCGGAAGTTGCGACTTCATCGCTCGCCATTTCAAGATGCTGCTGAGGCCTTAGGGCCCGTTGCTGCCTACCCCTCTCCCCCCAAGCCGGGCTCAGCTCGGGAGCGACCCATGGAGCGGCCGTAAGGTGTGGCTCTCAGGTTGCGCCTGCCAGGTGCCGGGAGGCGGGGAGCGAGTGAGGGATAGGAGCCGGCAGGGGCGCCGCGGATTCCGCGGGCCTCGGAGCGGAGGCAGCAGGCGGGAGGAGCGTGAGGCGTGGTGCGTCGGCGTTGGGAAGGTCGCGCCAGGCGGAAGGAGGGCTGGGGGGGAAGGGTTGTAAGATGAGGGCCTGCGGGAGATCAAAGTACAGGTCTAGTGACGTGAGGTAGTTTTGGCCAACGGGTGACCAACCTGAAGTCGAAGTGGTCGGATTGACGATTTAACTGGACGCAAAATTGGGAATACCGAAGCACCTCGGAGAAAGGGAAAAGAGGGAGGGATGCGGGCGGAACTGTATTCACGTGTCCTAAGATTTTAAGAGTGTAATTTTTAGGCTTGCAGATCGTCTGTAGCTGAGGCGCTCGGGTGTGTTCGAAAAGTGCTCGTTTGGGTCGGGCGCGGTGGCTCACGCCTGTCATCCTAACACCTTGGGAGGCGAGGCGGGTGGGTCGGTTGAGCTCACGAGTTCGAGACCAGTCTGAACCAGAGCAAGACCCTGTCTCTAGCAAAAAAAAAAAAAAAAAAGCTAGGAGTCGTGGCGGGCGCCTATAGTCCCAGCTACTCGGGAGGCTGAGGCAGGAGGATCGCTCAAGCCCGAGTCTGAGGTTGCTGTGAGCCGTGACGCCCCGGCACCCTACTCAGGGCGACAAAATGAGACTCTGTCACAACAACGAAAAAAATGCTCTTTTGGGGGCCACACTTGGCTTCTTGAAACATTACGGTTGGAGCTCAGGGAAATGAATATTTCACTCAGCACACTTGCTAAAGATTTCTGTACGGCCTAACCTTTGAAAACCAGTGTTTTAAAGCGACGCCTGGCGAAAATGCTGCTTTGTTCTTTCTTCGGGAAGGATCTGTGTTAGGAAGCTCCTCCAAGCTCTGGGGTATCTCAGGTTAGGTTTAGTTCCCTCCTTCCTCATACATTAATTTTTTTTTTCTCTTTTATTTTTTTAGACAGAGCCTTGGCATCACCTTGCCTCACAGCAACCTCAAACTCCAGGGCTCCAGCCGTCCTTTTGCTTCAGCCCGCTGAGGAGCTCAGACTATAGGGGGTGCACCACCATGCTTGGCTAGTTTTTCTATTTTTCTCTTCTTTCTTTTTTTATTTTTATTTTTGGTGGAGGTGCCAGGGAATGGACATTTTATTTTCTTTTGAGACTAGAGTCTCATTCTGTTGTCCTGTGCCACCATGCCTGGCTAATATTTTTTAGTAGAGACGGGGGTCTCACCCTTGTCAGGGTGGTCAGGAACTACTGAGCTCAAGAGATCTTCTGGCCTCAGTCTCCCCTAGTGCTAGGATAATAGCACGAGCCACTGCACCTGACCTAGTTTTTCTATTTTTATTTTTATTTTATTTATTTATTTATTTTTGAGACAGAGTCTTACTATGTTGCCCTTCATAGTGCCTTGGCATCACAGCTCAGAGCAACCTCCAACTCTTGGGCTTAAGCGATTCTCTTGCCTCAGCCTCCCAAGTAGCTGGGACTACATGCCCCTGCCACAAGGCCCTGATATTTTTTGTTGTTGCTGTTGTTGTAGTTATCATTGTTGTTTGGCAGGCCCAGGCTGGTTTCAAACCTGCCAGCTCCAGTGTATGTGGTCTGCACCCTAGCCATTGAGCTACAGGTGCTGAGCCCTCATCTAGTTTTTCTATTTTTGGTAGAGATGAGGTCTCTTACTTAGGCTGGTATCTTGAGCTCAGACAGTCCACCTGCCTTGGCCTCCCAGAGTGCTCAGGATTACTGGCACAAGCCACAGTGAAAGCACATGTAGTGAGAATAAAATGGAGTCAGGCAGGCTGGGGCAGACGTGGCACAGCTAGTCTGGTTGGTTTAGGTCCTGCCTGACCTTCACCTCCTGTCTCCTAGGAGACACTGGTTTTGTAAATTTAGCTCCCACCCTAAACATGCCTATCCTAAGTAGGTGGCTTGACTTAGGAGATTAACCTTTGAATTGGAATGTTGTCATAGGTCACTAAGTTATGCTGATTATTATTTGAAATAGAAGTTGCTGTGGTCTTTGCTTTGAATTTTTATGTATAAAACTGTAATTTTGCAATGGAAGAATAGAACTGTCTTGAAGAGGCTACTCTCACTGTTCTCCAGAATCCTGGCTTTCTGACAAAGTTCCTTTGCATATTGGCTGACAGTGACAAGTGGCCAGACCCTCTTCGTCTGGTAACAACTGCCTCCAGCGTACTCTTTTTTTAGGAGGTGAAGCCTGGCTGCACTGGCCAGGCTGGAGTGCAGTGGTTCTTCAGAAGCGTTATCATAGCACATTACAGCCTGGAAATCTTGGACTGAGGTTATTCCTCTTCATGTCCTCTCCCACCCCCTACTCCCCCAGCCTGGAGTAGATAGGACTGGTGGCAGACTGTGGTATCTGGTTGATTTTTAAAGTCTCTGTAATAGTACCCCCACTTCAACCTTCTGCTCTACCCCAGGTCCTGCAGAATTTTCAACATTGTGGATTTGGCTAGTTGCCTTTTAGTATTGTTTACTTATTTCTTTCTTTTTTTTTTTGTAGAGACAGAGTCTCACTTTTTCGCCCTCGGTAGAGTGCAGCGGAGTCGCTCCAGCAACCTCCAACTCCTGGGCCTAGGCGATTCTTCTGCCTCAGCCTCCCGAGTAGCTGGGACTACAGGCGC